AAATTATAGCATACTTGTAGGGGCAAAGGGCAGTTCGAGTTCGTTCGTGCAATTTCTTGTTGCTTGACATGTTGGTGTGATTGTATAATCACACCTACATACACCCACACTGTAGCTGTATGCAGTGAAAAAATTTCCATTTTTGCAAGATCGATTTTTGTGAGGTTTTTCATTTCTTGGTAATAGGCGCCCAGCATCGAACAGAAAGTATATTTCGGAGCATGGTAGAATGGAAATGCGAATAACTCCGGAAATACTTAACCGATTTTTATGAGCTTTGCAGCAATGGTTAGAGGGAATTCTGCAGTTTTATTACACAATGACACATTTTATATTTAATGTGCTGGTTTTTTGTCTCCTAACTTTGGAACTACTGGAGGTATTGCAATAAAATTGATGTCATCTGAAAGGTAGGAAGTCTGACTATTTCGTGATCTATTCAACATTAAAAAAATGTAAAATGTTTTATTTGAAATATTATGTAGGAGGATAAAAATGGACAAATAAATATATGGGAGCTATATCTAAATCTGAACCGATTTTCAGGAAACTTAAGACACATCATTCTATACCTAATTCATTACGCTGTGCCAAATTTCGTGAAAATCGAAAGATATATGGGGACTTGGGTGCACCATTTACCTTAAATCGGACGAAAATATATATGGGAGCTATATCTAAATCTGAACCGATTTTCACAAAACTTAACACACATCATTCTAGACCTAACTCAATACGCTGTGCCAAATTTCGTGCAAATCGAGAGATATAGGGACTTTGGTGCACCATTTACATTAAATCGGACGAAAATATATATGGGAGCTATATCTAAATCTGAACCGATTTTTCCCAATTTCAATAGGGCTCGTCCTTGGGCCAAATAAGTGACCTATGCCAAATTTCATCCAAATCGGATCATAAATGTGACCTGTGCGTTGTTCACAAAAGTACATGGACGGACGGACGGACATACGGACATGCGTAAATCGACTCAGAAAGTCATTTTATTCATATTCTCAAAAGAAACCATGTGTCTATGGCTAAAAGGAAACTCTATGCAACTCAATGTTATAAAACTTATCTATTCCTACATTTCGGATATTTTCTTGTATATTGTGAATTATGTCCTTATGAGTTCCACACCCCCTCAGTTTTCAGCTCGAATTGTTCCAATACCAAAAACTCATAACGTTATATGGCCTGATTATCTTCGCCAGATTTCGATACTTCCAGCCGTATCTAAAATTGTGGAAATAATAATAAATAATTGAAAAAAAAACATTAAGTTCGGCAGGGCCGAACTTTTGGAAACCTTTCACTATAGATATACTGGCAGGTACTTGAAATGAAAATATAGGGAAAATACCAAAAAGTGGACTTATACCGACATTTCTACAAACCGATTATGAAAACAATGATACAAATTTCAGATATTTTTAATGGATAATTATACCCTCAGACTTATGGCTAATGAGGGTGTATACATTTTGACATGGTGAAAATGAGCCTCATCGAAATATTGGTTCTAGACCCCATGTTTCTTTGGACCAAATTTGTTTCAAAAAATTTTGATTTCATCCAAACTTTGCCCATCTTATTACTTCTTCCAAATTTAATTCAAGTTCGAAGATGGGTAATATCCGACCACTCCATTTTGTACCTCTCATAGAGTGGCTAGGTCTAAATGCGGGTTGTAGTTCGTATATAGTTCATTATCGAATTGTACGTTCTAGTTTTTTTATCTCGATATCCTCCGCAGGTGAAATGATTGCAACAGTCTTAGAACCAAACCCCAAACGCAGAACAAATTAGATAACTATTTTAATATAAAAAATGGGGTTATATGGGGACTACCCCAAAAAGGGCGGGGCGAATATTAATAATTTTTGGTGGGGAGATTTGTTACCATATACCACTACAACATACCGACTACTACGACTACAAATTGAGGACGTAAGTGCAGGAATCTCCAACTATCTAGCCGCCATCACCAACTTCTTCCTGGAGCGCAATCTAAAATTATCCACTGCAAAGTCTACCGTGTCACTTTTCACTTCCTGGACGAGTGAAGTCAATCTAGAACTTGAAATTTCCGTTGAAGGTAGGCGCATCCCCACCGTCCATAATCCGAAAATCCTTGGGGTGGTCTTCGATAGCCTCCTTCATTTCTCCTCGCATTCCAATTACATCAACCAAAAGGTGAAATCTAGGAATAAAGTTCTGAAAGCTTTGGCTGGCACCTCCTGGGGCAAGGATAAAGAAACGTTGGTAACGACTTATAAGGCTATAGGTCGTTCCATCCTGAATTATGCTGCCCCAGTCTGGACTTCATTCCTTAGCGACACGCAATGGAGATCATTGCAAACAACCCAAAATAATGCACTCCGAATTGCAACCGGGTGTGTCCAGATGACGAGCGCCGATCACCTCCATGAGGAGACCAGGATGCTTTCAGTCATGCAACATAATGTGTTGTTGACTAGACAGTTCCTGCTGGCATGCTATCTGCCGTGTCGTCCTAACCATGACAGATGGCAGATCCACCTCCTCGACACATCCGCCAGGACTTCAGGCGCTATCGTGATGGCATCCAAGACGCCATTCCATCGGACGTCAACAGATTGTCGATAGCGAACGCGATGAAATCCGTGCATCAACTGGCGGTCTCCAATGCCAAAAATAACAACAGATGCAATAAAGTCCTACAACAACATCCTCCTGCAATTTCGGAGAATGAGAGGCTTCTTCATAGGCAAACCCGTTCAATTCTGGCACAACTAAGGTCCGGATACAGCAATGTACTCAACACGTATCGAGAGCGCATTGTTCCCGGAACCCTAAACAGGTGTCTCTCCTACCAGCAAAGCCCCCACGACACACACCATTTATTCAATTGTCCGTCCGAGCCTACGAGTCTATTGCCCATAGACTTATGGCTAAAGCCAATAGAGGTGGCACAATTTCTCCGACTACCCTCTTCAAATCCGAATTCCTAATTAATTAGTTAATATATTTTCCTTTTCCTTCTTCCGTTTTCTTTTCTATCAACATTTTTCAGGAATGAATTTCTTCGAACTTGACCTGCCTGCAGAGAAAAGACAAACATATGCAAAATTTCAGCACCCTAACTCAATTCCTTCAGAAAATAGTGTGATTACAACAGATGGACGGACGGACATGGCTAGATTGTCTTAAAATTTTACCCTGATCGAGAATATATCTACTTTATAGGGTCGGAAATGAATATTTCGATGAGTTACAAACGGAATTACAAAATTAATATACCCTCCATGGAGGTGGAGGTGGGTATAAAAACCAGATTTCGGAACATACATCTAGACTGATAGGTGATACCAAATTTGCATTTCGCACCACACACTTACTTTTAAAAGCTACAGATTGTATTACGTATGTAAGAATATTAAGGATGGAGAACTGAGTGTTCTTATACCACTCGATCTATCAAAGGCCTTTAATTGTATTATGTAATCATGTCCATATGATTGCAGATCGCAATTTGTGTCTGCAAACGGTTGTGAGTCTGGTACTATTACGCTTCACAGTGGCATATCGCAGGGCAGTGTATTAGGGCCACTTTTATTCATCCTATATATGTAAATGGCTTAGTTTTCTAACCAGCTCAGAATTGTGTGAGACTTTTCAGCAGTTCGCTGATGACATTTTCTTGCTTTTTAGTGGACCCAGCGAATTTCCATTGTTGTTCGAAAGTCGCATCAATATGTGTCCGCAACGTTTTTCATCTTGGACATCCGCTAACTTTCTTACCATCATTAATACTTCCAAAACCAAAGCCATGATATTCGGAAATTTTCCGGAACACATATTCTTCGTTAAATATTACCTTGCTGAATGACACTATAGAATTTGTGTTTGATGTTTGGGTGTGAGCATTGATCATGAACTATCCTTTAAGTCCCACATATTGATATTGTATCTGGCAAGATTTGATCTACACTACGGAGAATATATGTGTCAAATATGTATATTCCGTTTTTTTAAATAATTTTGTCACATGTGGACTGCTTTTTTAAATAATTTTTTTATGGCCTGGAGGTGGTGATTTTTTAAATAATTTTTTTAGAACAAGGCGTTTTTTTTTTTTTTTTCTAAACTCCATAAGCCTTGATTTTTTAAATAATTTTCCACACCTCTTGGTGCTCCTTGAATAAATATCCATTGGGTGTTTCTCATTATGTCCATCTGTATTATATTTGTTTTATTGTAATAATAAATTATTTTCTTTTGTTGATTATATCTCTAAAATGTTTAAACTTATTATCTTACAATTTAAAAAAAAAAAATATATGTAATACAATACTAATTCTAATTATGTTCATAACAATATATGAAGAAAAATTATAGCATAATTTGATTTATACATTCAATTTCGCTTCGAAAATACTTTTTTTTTTTTTTGACAATCTTAATACTATTTTTTCATTTTAAATTTACAATTTAATAGATGCCTTGATTAAAAAATATACTTTTATAAATAATTACAATTTAAAATTGAAGCTGCAAAGTAAATGTTTTTTTAATTTTTTTGGATATAAAGGCACTAAACTTAGTTTGGGTTAAGGTTTGGAGGGGGGTCCTAAGGAGTAGAGTATATATAAAAAGCCAAACAAAAAAGGGATTAAATACTGGGAAGATTATATCAATTGGGAATATATGATTTGAAATTAAATCTTAGTATAAATTTTTTCAGTATAGGGTATATTTAGTTACAGTACTGAGTTTGTTTTTGTTCACTGGAATGCATGGTAAGAGATTCTTGGAATGTTGTTTTTTTTAATGCTCATTAATTTTAAAATATGTCCTCGATTTGTTTTCTATAACAATTATGGAATATTTAGAAATTTAAAAGAAATTAAATTTTCAATTTAAAAAGAAAATAAAAATTAAAAACTGGGAAAACTTACAACCAATATTTGAATGCTATATATAAAAAAATTTTGTTTTTTTTTTTTTAATTTCACTTATAGCTGAAATTGTGTTGAATTTCCTGGGGTGTTTTTCTGTTGCCTTCGGCCAAAACGTTTGGGCGAAACAATATTCATACTTTCATCTTCGGAATCATTATTTGCATTATTGCCACTACTACTCGTTGTACTATCACCCCCTCCAGTACAACAAAAACGATTATGGGCCAATTTAATTGTTTTTGTCAAATCAATTGTATCGTTTTGTTTCAATTCAATTTCAGCAATCCGCTCCATATGTTTCCATTGGCGTACGGCCAATATAAAGGCATCGGTTACATTTGTTGCTGTCTTCGATGAGGTTTCTATCTGGCTATTGATATTATTTTGATCACACCATTGTTTCACCTCGTCAAAAGGTACCTGGCGGCAGTGGTGGGCCACGTCGTTCTGCAAAAAAAAAAATAATAAAAAAATATTTTTTAATATTTTATTAAAAATACTCACCTTATTGCCCACCACAATGAAAGGGAATTTATCGGCATTAACATCGGCATAATGTAAAAATTCCTGGCGCCATTGTTTCAAGCCACGAAAGCTGTCATAATCATCGATGGCATAACACAAAAGGCAGACATCTGAACCACGATAGAAGGGGGTACGTAGTGCACGGAAACGTTCCTGGCCAGCAGTGTCCCAAATCTGTAAAAAAGAAAGAAAAACCAAAAGTTAGAAAAAAAACTTTCATGGTTCCCAAATAGGCGTGAAATTTCAAAAAATATTTTTTAAGACGTGTTTTTTTATTTTTTTCTAACGGGTGGCGTAGGCTCTGATTGACTTTAATATATCGAAGTCCCGGTTTATCTGGGTCTCTCTTTCATCTCAATTGTGGACACTAACCTCCCCGCGGTGCCACCTGGGGAGCTATTTTCATCACCCGATGAAATAGTGAGCTAATATGTGCCGCGAGTCCACCCATAAGAACTATAAAAAATGGGTTGAGGCGTCGGGTTAGTTGCCCACTCTCGGAAAAAGCAAAGAAAAAGAAAACCATACCCTCGCAAACGTATAAAGGACCACGATCTACGAATCTGCACTTGGAATGTGCGCACGTTGTACAGAAAAGGCGCAGTTTTCGCCTTGGAGGATGAACTCAAGAAGTACAAAGCCGATATTATTACCTTACAGGAAATACGATGGAAAGGGACAGGCGTAAGTAAATCAGACGATAACGCCCTGTATTATAGCTGCTATGAAACGAGGCATGAATTTGGCTTCGGATTTATGGTTAACATGAGAATAAAAGACCTCGTCTCCAGATTCACTCCAGTAGATGAGCGAATTGCTATAATCCGTATAAAAGCGAAGTTCTTCTACATCAGTCTCATTTGCGCCTATGCTCCGACCGAAGGTAAAGATAAACAGACCAAATACATATTTTACAAGCGCCTAAAAACAGCATATGGCCGTTGCCCTGGCCATGACATTAAAATTCTGCTAGGAGATTTTAATGTAAAAATCGGAAGGGAAAATATCTTTGGCCACACCGTCGCGGCAGCAAATAACATGGTAGTTAGCAGCATCAGATTCCAGCACCCCGATATACACAGAGCCACTTGGATTTCTCCTGATCGAACAAAGAGAAATCAAATCGATCATGTTGTGATAGACGGGAGGCATTCTATCCATTTTTTTTCGCACCTCAACCGGGGCGTGGATTTTTTCGGACCATTACCTTGTGGCAGCCAAGGTACACACCCGTCTTAATGTAGCAAAGGTGCGATCTTTTGTAACACGAAATTTTTTCGAAAAGCTGCAAACACAACAGATAGCAGAAGTCTACTCCGCTCAACTTACCCAACTGCTTGACGAAAGCACCCCTTGTCCCGATAATAATATAGAATCACAATGACAGAGAATTGCCCACTCCCTACAAACTGCACCAAAAGCAACACTTGGGTACCAAAGACCACCATCAAGAAATCCGTGATACGACCAGTGCTACTGATATGAAAAACGCTTTTTCCGAAAAAAGGAGAAAGAACAAGAAAAATGTGAGCGTGAGCAAATCGAGATGTTCAGGAGTCAAAATGAAGTCCGAAAATTTTACCAACGAGTAAAACACCAAACCGAAAGCTTTGGTGCAGGCACACCCTCCTGTAGGTACGAAGACGAAAACCTGGTGACAGATACAGACAGCGTGCTGAGGATCTGGAAGGAGCATTTGGAAAAGTTTCTGGTATCAAATAGTGGCGGTGAAGTGGATACCCCAGAACCAATAATAGATGACGGTATAGAATGTATACCATCTAGCCAATATGAAGAAGAATAATAGCAGCAGGAGCCGACGGGTTACAAGCCGAACTAATCACCGACACTGGCTGATTAGTACAATTTGGCTAGAAGAATGCATGCCCAATAATCGGAACCTCACCATTCTGTGTCCCGTGCACAAAAAAGCAGAAAAGACGATATGCGCCAACTATAGAGGAATAATTCTCCTTCACATCGCATATAAAGTGCTATCCAGCGTCCTGTGTGAACGACATGGCCAATGACATTATTGGACCATACCAATGTGGCTTCAGACCTGGCAAATGCACCATTCACCAGATTTTCACTCTGCGCCAAATCCTGGAAAAAAACCACGAAAAACACATGGACACATTCCACCTATTCGTCGAGGTGTATAGAGCCATGCCTGCCTTTGGCATTCCTGCTATACAAGATAACTTTAACAGGCACAAGATCAGCAGTTAAAGTCGGAAAGGACCTCTCGGAGCATTTTAATACCGAAGGAGGATTCAGACAAGGTGACCTTTTTAACATGCCGCTGGAGAAGCTCATACGAGAGGCACCAAACAACACATGTTACTCGCCTACGCCGGTGACATCGACATAATGGGTCGAGCATTGTGAGCGGTAACAGCCACCATTGAACAAATTGAGAAGGATTCTGCCAAAGTGGGTCTGGCAGTAAACGGCGAGTAGACCAAGCTGATGGTATCAACGTGCAAGACGTCCAGTAGACTCGGATTAACTGTGGAACTTGAGAACTACAGCTTCAAGGTAGTCAAAGATTTTATATACCTTGGTACCGCCATAAATAAAACGAATGATGGCCAACCGATGCTACTATGGTCTAAGTAAGCAGTTTAGAAACAAAGGCTCCCGCCAGGCCAAAGAAAAAAAATTCTCCGAAAGATCTACGGGCCGATCTGCGTCGACGGTTGTTGTTGTAGCAGCCCTATTGCTTTTACACACGTCGGTGAATATCGGCGTCGAATGAACCACGAGCTTTACAATTTATACGCGGACATGGACATAGTCAGTCGTATTGAGCTGCAGCGACCACGGTGGCTAGGACATGTGCGAATGAATGAGAATGCCCCAGCCCAAAAGGCATATAAAAGCGAGCCTACTGATGGTTCCCGTAGAAGGGGAAGGCCACGAATTAGATGGAAAGACCAAGTAGAAAACAACATCTTGGAACGTGGTCTCCCCAATTGGTGGATTTGCGCACAAGACCGACCAATTGGAAATCTTTTTTTTAACTCGGCTTATGGAACAAGCCAGCTAAGTAAGTAAGTTTTTTAAAAAACATTTTTTAAGGACCACAACAAGAGAAACATTTTTTTTTAAATATTTTCTCTAGAAATAAATGCTAACAACAATTTACCTCTCTAACCAATTACAACTTATTTATAAATAATTAAATCATTCATTAAATAATTATGAAATCCGATATCGACCACCACCACCTCCATATTGGGCGAACAAAAAAATGCAAACATTTATTATTGTTGTTGTGATTGTTAAGACAACTGTAGACAGAATCTATATCGAAAATAGAACAGTTTCCCTTTTACAAAATAGTTGCAGCAACATTCCATCCATTCGAAATGATTTACCGGGTTCGAGACAAGTATTGATGTGTGTGTCACATAAAATGACAGATAAATAAAAAATTACAATAACAACAACAAAAATACTACCATTTGTCGCTGTTTGTTTTTTAAGCGTCACTTGGGGTATAATTAGAGATCAGTAGTAGAGTAGTTGGTTGACGATTTGTCAAATGCGTCACATGTAAACAATGGCCTGATATTGTCAACCGGCAACAAGTACACAAAATATGAACAATCTCTATTACGATTTCAAAATTCCCACGAAATGTGACATTGAAAAAAAAAATTAAAAATGGGTAAATAGTTTTTTCAAGACGAAGATTTTTTAATAAACATTTTTTTCAAGGGCCACAGTTAGGTGTGGATTTTATACCGGGTCGCCCTTTGCATGCTCTTCGCCATGAGATGGACTTTAATACCTAAAATCGATTCAAAGATTTATATGAGTCCCTGCCAGCAGCAAACAAAGTTTTGGACAATGACCTTAAACATATCGAAAATGAGACGTGACCTTGAATAGCACCTATGTAGAAACTTGCACTTATGTTGAAAATATTCTGTAAAGTTTGGTCAGGAAGATTTCCTACCCAATGATAACCCAAAATATCTAATAAGAGCCAACTTGCTATATAAACACGTGTGAAAACCTTAAAATATTGAAATTTGGGAGTCCGCTTTATATGGTGGCTACACCGAAACATGGGTCAATATCCATAATTTTTGGGGACAAAGATTTGCTACCCAATTAGAATTCAAAATATCAAATAAGAGCCAATTCGTTTTGAATTCGTTGAAAAACAATCTCAAAATCCCAAAAAACCGAAATATGTGAGGTTATGTTATAAGGGGGATACCCCAAATAGTTGACCAATATTGTTCATTTTTGGTAGGAACATTTGCTACCCATTGAGAATCCATAATGCCAAATTAGAGCCAATTCGGTTGAAAACCAGCCCATAAATAAACAAAATACCGAATTTTGTGAGGTTATGTTATATGGGAGCTACCCCAAAACTTGTGCCAATATTGATAATTTTTGGTGGGAAGATTTGCCACCAAATTGGAAACCAAAATATCAAATTAGAGCCAATTCGTTTCAAACATGTACCCATTATTATCATTATGTGGGGGCTACCCCGAAACTTGGGCCAATATAGCTAATTTTTGGTAGGAAGGTAGGCTGCCGAATGGCTACATCAAATATTAAATTACAGCCAAATTGGTTGGATGACTTACCGAAAATCCCCAAATACCGAACTTTTTTAGGTTATGTTATATGGGGGCTAACCCAAAAAGTTGACCAATATAAATAATTTTTGGTGGGAAGATTTGCCATCCAATGAGAATACATAATATGAAGTTAGAGCTAATTCGGTTGTAAATTTTGCCAAAATTCCTTTAAATACCGAAATTTGTGAGGTTTGTTATATGAGGACTCCCCCAAAAAGTTGACCAATATTGATAACTTTTGCTGGGAAGATTTGCCACCCAATGAGTACACAACATACCCAATTACAACTAATTCAGTTGAAAAACAGGCCCAATATACACAAAATACCCAAATTTTGAGGTTATGTTATATGGGGGCTACCTCAAAAAGTTCAACAATATTGATAATTTTTGCTGGGAAGATGTTACAACCAATGAGAACCCAAAATACCAAATTAGAGCCAATTCGCTTCAAAAATGTAGCCAAGCACCCTAAAAATCTATTTCCATTAGATGGGAACTACTCCAAAACTTGGGCCAATATTTCTACTTTTTGGTAGGAAGATTTCCTATCCAATGATAACCAGATATACCAAATTACAGTCTATTCGTTTGAAAAATGTGTCACAAAATAATAAAAATTAATGGTTCGGTTGATGGGGGTTAGACCAATACGTGGACCGATATTAATAATTTTTGATAGGAAGATTTGCTGTCCACTGTGAAAGAGCAAAATACAAAATTACAGCCACTTCGCTTCAAAAATGTTCCCAAGACCCCTAAAAATCTATTACCAATATATGGGGCCTACCCCGAAACATGGACCAATATTGGTAAATTTTGGTAGGAAGATGTGCTACCCAATGAGAACCTCAAATATAAAATTACAAAAAATTTGGTTGAAAAGTGTGCCAACATTCCCTAAAATACCGAAATTTGAGAGGTATCATTACATGGGGCTACCCCGAGATATGGACCGATATTGATCATTTTTGGTCGGAAGATTTTCTATCCAATGATAATTGATAATACCAAAATATAGTGAATTCTGTTGGAAAATGTGTCCCAAATTCTCCAGAAAGGGAAAAATTGTGGTTCTGTTACACGGGAGCTATACCAAAACGTTGAGCGATATATCTCATTTTCAATACCAAACATCCTAGGAGTAGTAGAAATGTATGTACAAAGCTCGATCTTAAATATTGTAGGGTCTATTGTGATTTCAGTAGAAGGGGCGGAAATACCGGTTTCCACGACAGAGGAGTCTACAATCCGAAACGACCCGAGTCTTACTCGGCCAACGTCTGTCACCTCAGCCCATTGTGTAAAAGCAATAGGGCTGCTACAACAACAACCATCATAGAATTTTATTCCGATCAAAAATATATGTACTTCATGGGGTCTATGGTGAATATTTCTCCATCTAAAGGTGTAGGCTTTAAAAAACCCGGCTCTTAGAGACCTCGTGGCAAAATACAATCCGTTTATTATTTGTTTCCAATTTCATTTTTGCTTTGCTTTTATTTTTTTACGTTAATTGCCAATTGAAGAGGGTCACGGAAGGGCTCTATAAAATTCTATGCAAATTAAATTCCCACATAGACAATTTATTTTTTTGCACCTAACCAGGGGAAACCCCCAAGACGCACCATCACACAGACACACAAAAAATGTAAACTATAAAATATATATCAAAAAGATTACAATTAAAAAACATAGCAACAGGACGGGACAGGGTGGGTGTGAGGCTCAAGCCACCTTCACACCACACACACTACCCTAGCCCCTGTCCTACCCCATATGCATGGTCTTTGTTATCTTATTTTTTTCAAAAAGGAATATCCTTACCTGCAATGTATATTTCTCGCCATCGACATCAATATCTTTGTTCATGAACTCAACCCCAATCGTATGGAAATTATTCTCATCATAACGATTAGAAACAAAACGATTCATAAGACATGACTTTCCGACGCCACCATCACCCAATATGACGACTTTTAATAGGGTCGTTTTATTGGGGGGACGCATATTCGTCATGGTTGGTTGGTTGGTGATTTTTGCTACTTTTTGTTTTCGAAGAGTCGGTAGTATATCGAGGGGCTTGGAAACGCTTTAGCTGTTGTAGTAGAGACGGAAACGATGGCAACACAGCACACAAAAAAGTAAGTTTCCAAGTTAATGACACAGAAACAAAAAACAGCAACAACAACAAACGGCAACAATTTCAATTTTCAATTGCGAATAATAATGGAGGAGGATGATGTTACACAAGAAAACTGGAAAAAAAAATAAAACAAAGTTTATTTAACTTATTTTTGTTTTTCTGCGAAATGAAGGGCAAGGGGAGGTACTTACCTTTAATTTACACACTTTGGGATTCCCATCAAAATCCCAGATGATATTCAGTGCAAAAATACCTCCTAAAAAACAATGGCAACAGACCCTCCTCACAACAGCCCAATCAAAAAAACACGCACATTCACAACTCTGTTCTCGTTGATAGATTCCTCGCCTATTGTCTTTTTATCGGCTCGTTATGATTACTCCGTGTTAGTGTTGTTGCTCTTGTTATTTTTTCTTTATTGTTTAATTAATTTTAAATGGCATTTAATTTATTATCTTTTTTCGCTATCTTGATAATTTTGTTGTTTTTCACTTCTGCTACTTCTTCTTATCTTATTTGTTGTAAAATGTTATGTTTTTTTCCTGAATGGATTTGTTTTTTCACGCACACAAAAATATAAAAACAACAACCGTCTGCCGCGGCCAAACTGTCTTGTTGTTGCACTGATGGAGAAATGACAACAATGAAATTGTCTGTGTTGCTGCTCTCTGTACAATGGATGTTGTTATTGCATTTCTCTTTGACATTGATTTGATGAGAGGAGATAGGGCACACTAAGCATGATTTGTGCTGGTAACGGGTGAGGTCATCTTTTGTTACTAGTGAACCCTAATTACTTTAGATTAAATGATGGAATAAATTGAAATATTAATAAAAATGATAATAAATACTGAATTAAATAATAAATTATACGAAAAAAAAAACAAGAATTAATAAAAATAATATAAATACAAAGCGAATTTCTTCTACATCAGTCTTATTTGCGCCCATGCCCCGACGGAAGACAAGGATGAACAAACCAAACACATTTTTTACGAGCTCCTTGAAACTACATATGACCGCTACTCTTGCCATGACATTGAAATCCTGCTGTTATATGAATCTGAAACATGGGTACTTACGCAAGCAGATGAGGCAGCTCTTGGAGTGTTTGAGAGATTGTTAGACTATTGAGCTGCAGCGACTTTTGCTAGATCATGTTGTGAGAATGGATGAAGATGCCCCAGCCCAGAAGACATATAAAAGCGAACCAGCTGATGGTTCACGCAGAAGGGGAAGACCACGAATAAGATGGAAAGACCAAGTGGAAGTGGACCATTGCCGAACATGGTCTTTCGAACTGGAAAATTGCGCAAAAGACCGACGCGCCAGGAAATCTTTTTTAAGCTGGGCTTATGGAACGAAAGTTCGGTCACAAGCCAGCTAAGTAAGTAAGTATAAGGCGTGGATTTTTTATAAATATTTTTTCATGGCTCTATACAAGACGTGGATTTTTTAAAAATTTTCAAGGGCACTTAGTCTCCATCTATTAAAAAATAAAATAAACTGGATGGCGACATCTATTGAAGAAGACTTATAAAGTGATTGTTGAAAATAAAATTGTGGTTGGTGTCCACAATAATTCCTCACATCTAATAGCTTCGGTATAGCTCATCTCCAATTGGCTTAAAATAACAGGGATGGGAATTGGAATTATAAACATTTTATTGGTGAACTCGGAAATAAATTTAATTTGTTTTAATATCAAAATTAGGGATGTTCGGTTGTTAGTAACAACCATCCACTCGGAGACTATTGGCCATTGTGATCATCCTTTATACCTGAAAAGAGAACGGCAAGAGAAGAGAGAGTGGAGAAGCTACTAGGAAAAGGACAGCCTTGAGACGGTTATTTTAGCCATGTCAGATTTTCGACAAAGCCTAGGATCTGGTTGCAGAAGCCTATATTATCAATTTCATACCTTTCAAACTGTTTATGTTTTCTGCGAATCAACGATGGACATCTACAGAGGATATGTCTGCAAACAGATTCTCTCGACCATATATTACCGACTGCCTCGTCGTCGGTGGTTGCACAGATGTATCAATCGGAAGATTGGACGATTGTGTGACCCCTCGAGCAAGCTTGTCGGCTATCTTGTTCCCTTCTATGTCACTATGTCCTGGAACCCAACATAAGTTATCTATCCGTCGTGTAAAATTCAGAGCGGACTTGCAATCAAGAACTGTTTTTGAGTTTATAGTACACGACTTCATAGGCAATCTGTCATTTCCTCCGAGACTCTCCCCCTGAGCCCGTTGATTGTCCGCGACTGATTATTAGTTATTCACAGTTATCCAATGAATAATATTGGGCTTCCCACTATCCACAACCGGTGGACGCGTCCGTTAGCACTCAGCTATGCTTCCCGAACGCGGATCAGGACTCTAAACATTTTTTAAATCTCTTCCTTGATTGTGGTATCAAAAAAATACTTTTGACTAACTATGTCGATGTCCGCGTATAAATTGTAAAACTCGTGGTTCATTTTTCTTTCAAACACCCCAAGAGCTGTCTCGTCTGCTTGAGCAAATACCCATGCTTCAGCACGGGTAATACCAGCGAGAGTATGAGTTTGGTCTGGCGGGAGGTGACCTTGTTTCTAAAGTGCTTACTTAGACCATAGTAGCATCTGTGGGCCATCACAATCCTTCTCCGAATTTCAAAACTGATATCATTCGTTTTATTTATGGCGGTGACAAGGTATATCAAATCTTTAACTACCTCGAAGCTGTAGTTGTCAAGTTCCACAGTTGTTTCGAGTCTACTGGACGACTTGCGCATTGATACCATCAGCTTGGTCTTCTCGCCGTCTACTGCCAGACCCACTTTGGCTGACTCCTTCCCAATTTGTTCAAAGGTGGCTATTACCGCTCGCAATATTCGACCCATTATATCGATGTCATCGTCGTAGGCGAGTAACATGTGTTGTTTGGTGTGCAGAGTGCCATTTCTATTCACCTTTGCGTCTCGTATGACCTTTTCCAGCAGGATGTTAAAAAGATCACACGACAAACTGTCACCTTGTCTGAATCCTCGTTCGGAATTGAAGGGCTTCGATAGATCCTTTCCGACTTTAACTGCTGACCTTGTGCCATTTAAAGTTATCGTATTCATTTTGCAGGAATACCAAACGCAGACATTGTTTTATACACCTCTGAAAGGATAGGACTGTCGAATGCGGCTTTGTAGTCGATGAATAGATGGAATGTGTCGATGTGTTTCTCGTGTTTTTTTCCAGGATTTAACGCAGAGTGATCTGGTCGATGGTGGATTTGCCAGGTCTGAAGCCGCATTGGTATGGTTCAATAATGTCATTGACCATTGGCTTCAATCGTTCACACAGCACACTGGATAGCAGTTTATATGCGATGGGAAGAAGGCTAATTCCTCTATAGTTGGCACATATCATCTTGTCTCTTTTTCTGTGCACGGGACACAGGATGCTGAGGTTCCAATCATTGGGCATGCATTTCTCTAGCCAAATTGTACTAATCAGCTGGTGCATGCTTCTGAACAGCATCTGACTACCAGTCTTGAATAGTTCGGCTGGTAACCCGTCGGCTCTTGGTGCTTTATTGTTCTTGAGCCGATTAATTGTTTTTATGACCTTATCTTGGCTAGGTGGTATACACTCTATACCATCATCTCTTACTGGTTCTGGGGGAAGCTTTTCAAAATGATCCTTCCAGATCCCCAACACGCTGTCTGTATCTGTCACCAGGTTCCCTTCTCCATCCCTACAGGAGGATGTGCCTGCACCAAAACCTTCGGTTTGGTGTTTTACACGTTGGTAAATTTTCCGGACTTCATTCTGACTCCTGTACATCTCTTGCTCACGCTCACGTTTTTCTTGTTCTTTCGTCTTTTTCTGACAACACGTTTCTCCTCTTTCCATTTCTTCCGATAATTCTCCTTCACATTATATGTTGTTACGGTCTGCAGGATTGCCCTATACGCTACGTTTTCCAGATCAGTAGCATTACGACACTCCATGGGTTTCTTGGTGGAGGTTTTTGGTACCCAAGTGCTTTTGCTTTTGCTGCAGTAAGTAGGGAGTGGCAATTCTTTGCCATTGTGCTTCTATACTATTATCGGGGCGAGAAGTGCTTTCTTCAAGCAGTTGGATAAGTCGAGCGGAGTAGGCTGTTGTGTTTGCAGCTTTTCCAAGTCAAATTTCCGTGTTACATTAGATCGCACCTTTGCTGCTACATTAAGACGGGTACGTACCTTGGTTGCCACAAGGTAATGGTCCGAATCGATATTCGCTCTTCGGATATATCAGACGTCTAAAACACTGGATGAATGCCTTCCGTCTATCACAACATGATCAATTTAATTTCTCGTTGTTTGATCGGAAGAAATCCAAGTTTCCTTGTGCATATCGAGATGCTTGAAACTGGTGCTGCTATCTACCATGTTTTTTGCTGCCGCGAAGTCAATCAACCTCATGCCGTTGTCTGATGTTTCTTCATGGAGGCTGAATTTTCCGACGGTGGGGACAAAAATATTTTATCTTCCGATTTTTGCATTAAAATCTCTTAGCAGAATTCTAATAAAGGGTGATTTTTTTGAGGTTAGGATTTTCATGCATTAGTATTTGACAGATCACGTGGGATTTCAGACATGGTGTCAAAGAGAAAGATGCTCAGTATGCTTTGACATTTCATCATGAATAGACTTACTAACGAGCAACGCTTGCAAATCATTGAATTTTATTACCAAAATCAGTGTTCGGTTCGAAATGTGTTTCGCGCTTTACGTCCGATTTATGGTCTACATAATCGACCAAGTGAGCAAACAATTAATGCGATTGTGATCAAGTTTCGCACTCAGTTTACTTTATTGGACATTAAACCAACCACACGAATGCG